TTTAAAATTTTAGAAGAAGAGTAGGATGGAAAGATTTAAATGGATACACTTTTGCTTTAATTTATTCGTTTTTAAAATATGTATTTTATATATGTGATTATTTTATAAAATAATATACAGTAATAATTTTTAGAAATTAAGGAAATAATAATTGTAAAATTGCTTTGATTTGATATTGAAAAGAAAGTATTTTATTCTTTTGTACTTGTATCAAAAAAAATGATTATGATTTTATTAATTGATCATTAATTCAAATCGTTAATTCAAAATGCAAGAGCAAGGCAGAATTGCATACTTATTACACAAAAGGTCAAAATTGTTTTGTCTATCAAATAAAAAATGTTTATTGAATTTAACCAATTTCAGGTTTGATGCTACTATTTTACATACAATAAATGATCAAATCTTATATATATATTAATAAGAAACCTTTCAAATTTAAAATATGAAAATTTACAATAAACAAGCTGTGTACGAGATTCAATATTTATTAATTATATATTTAACAAAAGAGCAGACTTTTTGTGTTAATTAAAGAACAATAACTAATTTTTCGCCTTCCGACTAATAAACATTTGTTTACTTTCATTCCTGTTATGAATTATAACAAGGATAACACAACCATCTGATATAACCACTACAAATTACTTCTATTGTACAACATCAACGAATTTACTTATAATTCGAGAAAAAAAAAATTGGCCACTGTTTAACAAAATTCCGCCAACATAAGATTTTCTCTTCTCTTCGAAAAGTTTTCCAATCGACGTCAAGAGGCACAGCAATCAGTATTTACAAATACCATCTACCCCTCGGTATCGGATACTTCTCTGCCAAAGCGGGATCGTTATGAATACAAAGAAGAGTTCGCAGGAGCAGGTAGAAGAAGGAAGATAAGGTCGAGGACGTCGACGAGGACGAGTCTCGGTGTACACATTGTAACGAACGAGTATTTTCCGTCGAGCGGAATACAAACTGCACCATTGGCCGTCCCCTCGCCTCCCTTTACACGTGCAGACACATTCGCGGGGGTGGCGTGGATTCGTCCACGAAATGAGACTCTGCTTCAGTGTCTCGAAAACGTGTCTCGTACGTACGCTATCCTTCCCCTACCACCTCACGTCGTCGTTCGCTCGGTCGTCCCCTCCCCCCACCACTCCCGATCCCCTTTCTCCGTTTCACTCGTTCGGGTATCGCGCGCGCCGTCTCGCTCGCTCCCGTTCCACTCTACGTGTTCTCATCCTTATCCGCAGTGTCCGCAAGCCACGTTTCTCCGTGGAGAGAAGCGCACGGAAAC